CGAATTTTGTCTCGAATATGCGGAGTGAAGTAAGAGATCGGCATCTAGGCCAACTGTCGAAGACGATACTTAGAAGATTCACATCGTAGAATCCATGGGTACCATGGGATGTCGCATTGTAGTCGCATTGGAAGAGCGCTAATAAGTCGATGTATGGGTAGGACAGCGTCATGCATCCATACGCGTTGACGGGAAGCTCCACCAGGCTGTAGTACACTTGACACATCGTGATCGTTGTCAAAAGCTCGCTTGAAATCGAAGTTCCATGACGGGAAGGTACATATCTAGGCACGCAGGTCCACGCTTGGCAGTGACGTAACGAGCCAATGACATAATTCAATCCCAGCAAGCCCACTACGTGGACACTCGATGCGGAGATTTTGGGAGGCCGACTTTGTTGGGGTCTCCACACACACGTTCGGTATATAGACCGAGATGCCAGGCTCGGCGCATCCATGACGAATCCCACATCCTGATCCCCATGACCCATCATGTCGTGGTCTCTTCTTCTCACCGTCCTGACCCAGGTCGTCCGTGTTACATGCGCACCAGAGACATATGACTATGTTATAGTTGGAGGAGGCCCCGCAGGTCTTCTAGTCGCGAACCGACTGTCTGCCGATCCCGAAGTCACTGTTGCCATCATCGAAGCCGGAGATTCTGGCTACGATAACCCCAATGTGTCATACGTACCGAGGTCTATCTTGGAGTACGGCCTCTTCATCGGCACGTCGATTGACTGGAAGTACATGACAGCACCTCAGAAGTATGCTGGGAACCGGAGCGTGAACTACTGGGCAGGCAAGGCTTTGGGAGGCAGTACTACGGTCAATGGAATGACGTACATCCGCGCGGAGAAAGAGCAAATTGATGGGTGGGAAGGGCTTGGGAACGAGGGTTGGAACTGGGAGAGTCTGCTCGAATACTACCTGAGGCAGGAAGGCTTCACAGAGCCTAGTGAGGAACTTTCGAAGGAAGGCGCGACCTTCAGGGACGGCGTACATGGAACAGAGGGAGAGCTTGCTGTTGGCTTCACCCCATACCTGGTCCGTCAAGGGTTCGCCAAACTGTTCGCGGAGACCTCCCTGGCGATGGGTATTCCTTACAATAAGGAACCGAACAATGGTAGTATGCGTGGTTTCGACGTGTGGCCTATGACACAGAATGTGAGTGGGCCTACGAGGGCAGATGGAGCAAGGTCCTTCTACTTCCCTGTTGCGTCACGCCCGAACCTCCAGGTCTTCTTCAATACTACTGCTGCACGGATCACCTGGAACAACGAATCATCCGAGACGTCAGAAGTGGTGGCCTCGGGAGTTGAGGTGATCGATGCGGGAAATGTAACGAAAACTATCGGTGCCAACAAGGAGGTCATTGTCGCAGCCGGCGCCATTCGATCACCGGCATTCCTTGAGCACTCAGGTGTAGGTAATCCCGCCATACTTGAACCTCTCGGTATCAAGACTGTCAACCCACTCCACTCGGTCGGCTCCAACCTGCCAGATCAACCGCAGCATGGGATGGTCTTCAACTCGTCCACGAATTGGACGGGCTATCCTACCTTCGTTACATTCTTGACAGCTTCTGATCTCTTTGGTGAAGAACTTCCCGCTCTTTTGGAAGAGCTCCAAGCCAATGTGAGCGCTTATGCTGCAGCGATTGTCGCAGACTACGCGCCCGATACCATCTCCGTCGAGACGCAAGAACGGCTTCTGCAACACCAAGTAGACCTAGTCTTCACTGCTGAGAGCGATGTTCCTTTAATAGAGATCCTCTGGGCCCCAACAGGAAAACAGATCATTGCGCAGCTCTGGGATCTAATACCGCTTTCTCGAGGCTCAATACACATCGAATCCGCCGATGCAACCATACCACCACGTATCGACCCAAACTTCTTCCAGATGCCCATCGACATGTATGTCCAAGCAGCTGCTGCAATCCGTATCCGCGAGTATTTCGCCACTTCGCCGCTCGCGGAGGACGCTACAGGCGAGGTCTCTCCCGGTTACGAAGCGGTACCGCAAGGTGCTCATTGGAGGGATCAAGTCTGGGACGACTGGATCACAGGCGCCATGAACGGCAACTCGCATCCCGTGAGTACTTGCGCAATGATGAGTAAGGAGCTGGGCGGTGTGGTAAATACGGAGGGCCAGGTTTACGGGACGCAAAACGTCCGGGTTGTGGATGCGAGTGTGTTCCCGACTCAGATCTCAGGCCATCTTAGCGCCAGTGTATATGCCATTGCTGGAAAGATTGCGGATGCGATTAAGCAGAAGGGGTCGGATGAGAAGAAGTTTTGACAAGACTTTTCCTTTGTAGCGCTTCCGATGTTGGCGGCGTATTGCTATCACACTGTAAAAGTCCCGGATTGGGCGGGTCTTCGCCTCCTCCGGGTCAATAGAGAGCTGCGTCGGTGAGACTGGTGCATGGTTAGCGCAAAGCAAGAACAGAGTTCAATTTGATTGAGAAGCGTGTACTGTTCTTTGTTGAAGGTGATGCTCCCTCCTGACAGGCGATCGGAAAAGGGATGGTGATGCACTGCTCCACTTTTCATTCCAGGGCAGCCGCCCCGCGTCATCGACCTTTAGGCAAGAGCCGTGCGCTTGGGTATGACGAGCCCACCACAAACTCCCAGCCTTCGCTATCCAATATCCAGCTGTGGTCCTCAAAGCCGACGCGAAAGCATAATGCCATCGTTCATGGGCCTTCCGCGTGAACTACGTGATCAGATATGCGAGTACGTCATACTTTCGCCAGCCCGGCAGCCACGAGGGCTTAATCAGACAACCGAAGAGATTCTTGCAGGATACACGACTTATGAGTTTCCGACGCCGTTCGTGCGACCGGGTCCATCGTATCAGCCCCAGGCAATCGTCTCGAATTCGACGAGATTACTGCTAGTCAATCAACAGCTGAGAACGGAGACAACGGAGATGCTACAACGAATGCGAAGCATTATGTACGACCTCGATCTTGTAATGACCGACAATGGGATATTGGCAGCGACATGGATCAATGTTCCAGCTTTGTCGACCAGAGTTGAGCAGCTGAATGTCACACTTCGCCTCTGTGTGACAAACGATAGCGAACGACTGAAGTCTGAAATTGAAGACATGTTAGGGGCGCCGGCAAATCCAGGACCTGAAGATTTCTTTGGGCTACTACCAAAGCAGTGTAAGGAAAGCCTTTCCTCTATTAGTACTAGTACTACATACTAACCACTCACCTCACTGTTCTAGTGGTATGGGGCTTCTATGGCATATTCAACCGATTCACCCATGTTGGGCCTCTGGGCGAAAGGAAGAGCGACTGTGAACACCGGCAAATATCCATCAGAACGATCAGGATCAACGTCGAGACACCATCTCCCGATCTTGCGCAGCTCGGTCTGATTCATATGTCCGCTCAGGCCGACGCTGCAATGTCGGTTACTTCCCGGTACTTCTTGGTGTGTCTGAATTGGACTATACAACAACAGCTGGAAGGGAATTGGGAGTATATCCGAAACATCACTCTGCTTGAGTACGTAGATCATGTTCTGATCTATCACGACGGCAATGAGATACATCGCTGGGATGTAGCTGCGTGCCTTGCAGAGTATCCCGAAGATGAAATGATCAAGTGGAGACCAACTGGCAAGAAAGAAGCCTGGCGCAGAAGGAAGCAAAGAGGACTGAAGGTGCCCGAAGACTTTAAGGATCCGGCCGGATGGTGATACCAGACTGCAAACACGGGGAAGCTGTTGAGGTACGAAATGGTCTTACGAGGTTCTCCAGGAACGGCACAAGACCACAGGCAAAGGAGAACCGCCTTCACTCAACCGCTTCACGTGACGGGTCGTGGCTTAGCAAGACTAACGTGCAGACCGCTGTCGATCATTCTAACACACGATCAACAGTCACTTACCAAACGTCCGCTTTCTCTTGCGATAAAACTAAATTCACTATTCGTACTTCAGCTCACTCTTTCTACTGCTGATCGACCAATCTCGACAAATGAGCCCGAAGCGGTAATCCGAAAAAATGACGCTTGTTGCGCTAGACAACATGCGGTTAGTGACCTCGAGGAATCAACTATATTGGGATAGCGATCTACGAGGCCTGGGGCTTGACTGTGCTTGATATTGTTTGGCATCTGTTTACTGGCAAGGCTGAGTCTCGAGAAATACGCCCGTTTTGGAGATAGCTGGGGGCCTGGAACAATATGCGCGGTTTATCAAAGCAGCTCCGTATTGTGTTGAGCGTGACGCTCGAGATACTTATATCTAGTGCCAGACCACTCATCGCAAAGCAACATAAGCTCGATACCATACTATCATGATGCCATTAGAACCTCTTCCATACCAGAGCCACTCTTTCGACCGGCCGCATCGAGCACTTGGTTCATACAGCGCTGCACCGTTACCACCGACTAGCTTGTGTCCACCGGATGATGAGTTGTCACGTCACGCGATAGATTGGTCGCCCTGCATTCCAGATCCAGTTCAGCCACCACAATCTCTTCAAGTGAGCCACCCTTCAAACATTGCCAGTAAACCTTGCTGACCTGTCTAGAAACCCGTCGTGATACCAAGACTCGATGCAAGCGGTCTACTTGGAACACCATTCCCATTTATACGAGCATACAGCCCCGATCTGCGCCGCTTCAATATCCACGAGAAAGACTTTGTAGCATTCATTGATGATCTCAGTGTCGCTCAAGCTCCGCCAGTTCCGCTTCAGGCACTTGATGCAGCGGGTCATGTGGTTGGCATCGTGTGAGTTGACTTCTCTTTTTGGCTCTTACCGGTTTCTCATACAAGTGCTAGACCACATCATTGGACCATGATCGCTGGCGCCAGCATGAATGTGGCCGCCGGAGTTGGAACGGCTGCTACGACAACTATGCGAACGCGGCGCTTCTTGGAGGCTGTGAATCGAGAATACTTCGCGCCTCGTGGCCTGGAAGCTTCGATTTGCAAGAACAGGCAGTTGGAAGAGAAGCTTGGCTGCAATGTGCACATGCCATCGTCGGCGTAAGTTTAGCCCTGCCGTAAGGATTCCCTGGTTCTGACTTCGCAAAGAGCTCTAGGAAGTAGCTCTCGGCCTCAAACAGCTGGATACCGACGATTGCAAGCGCTCACGCCCTACATCGCACCGCTATCATTCAACGTACCACCGCCAATGGAGCAACGAAATGCTCTGGACAGAATGGCTGCAAAGCAGATCGAACGGCGTATTAAGAAGAAAGAAGAAAAGGGCTACAGCTCAGACTCAAGCTCTAGTTCAGAGTCTAGCATCAGCTCCAACAAAGAGTCCGCCCTGGTATCTCATGATGAGGTCAACGGCAAACAAAAGAGAAGAGCGGATAAAGCGGAGCGTAAACGAGCAAAGAAAGAAGAGAAGAAGGCGCGAAAGGAAGAGCGGAGATCTAGGAAGCGGGACCGGAAAGGGGCCAAAGCTCATGTTAAGGAGGGTAAGAAGTTGGAGAAAGAACAGAAGATGGTCGAGAAGATGGAGTATATCATCATTGAGTCGCTGAATGAGGGGATGTAGTGATAGAGAGACTTCGTTGACTTGTCACAAATGCCCATGTTTATGCGACAAAACGGTTGTTCTACCTTTTTAATTGATTACGATCTCACTTGCGAACATCTAGGATGCTTTTAGCGGATCTCCAGGGCCCTCGTCCACCAGCCGACATGTCTTGCATGACAGATGTAATCCATGATGCTATTGTCGGCTCCTTCTCGCGGATCCCATCGTATGCCATGCGCAGAGGAAAGAGTAGTTCAAAAGAACCCTGTTCGCCCCAGTCCTCTAGCTGATGGTACTCGACGCTACGACATATAGTGAGCGCCGCTGTCGATATCTGCTCCTGTCGGGTATGGTAGGCTGAAGATGACATCATCTCAGCATCGATGCTGTCGGCGAACCGGAGGGCCATGATGGTAGCGGCGTTATAGACTGTGATAGCGTTCGCGTGATAGAGTGATCGGTATCTGAAGGCAGTAGACCAGGCTGGATGCAACGCGCCATACTCGTCTTCTATGAGCGGTATCGGTTGACATGCGGGTGTCTCGTAAGAGGTGTGAAACGGATCAGACGCAAAAGTCTCCCTCCAGTTCTTCAGTTTGGCGATGACCTCATGACATTGCAAAGAGAGACATTGCGTCTCAGCAGTCCTTGTGTCTTCATCCGCAACTGACAAAAGCTCATCACGCAGAATGAAGAGCTGAGGGTAGTCGGCAATAATGTCGAACAAGAGCTTGAGCGAGTCGATGTGCTCAGGGTGTAAGCTCCAGGGGATGTATTTCCATTTGTTCTCCGACATTATCGTTGGCTTGTGCAAAACAATAGCTGCAAAGATAAGAGACGGGCGAATCCTATCCAAGATCCCAAGACACTGAGGTGATGCCATAGCTTCAGGTCCGCGCAACTCGAAGAGCCTTTCTAGCCCACGTGCATGGTTTATCCAACCATCGACACGATCCGAGATGAGGAACTAGTAGCGGTTAGAAAATGTGTGCACTGCAGAACGTTTGATGTACCTCGATGAGTCCCATAAGCATGACCGCCTCAATCAGATCAAAGGAAGGCGGAGATACCGAAGCCTCAAGAGCCGAATGCACGGCTCTAAGTGCGTCACTGTACCTCTTGAATCCGTACTGCGTGATAGCTATATCCTGGTGCTTGATGCCGAAGTAAGAAGTCGCAAGCGCAGAAAGTGACTTGATGGTAATAACCCCAGGATTGAACACCAACAGGCTTTGCACCGGCAGTAAGTTTGAGAGAGTGAACGCGGTGAAGACATCATCGCGAGAAGGCGACAATGCTCGATGAATTTCCTGGTGAAGTCGAGTAGCAGTGTCAGGCGTTCTGGTGCCGACTTCCACAGCTAAGCACCCGGCGACATCGCGTTCGCGATCGCTAGGCTGGGCAGACTGGCCGTGGCCATCGAATTGTACGAATGTGATGCCGCGGGTGCCACCACATTGTAGTCGTGCTGTGACGCACCTTCCGCATTGTGGCTTTCGTAGATCTCGTGACGTCAACACACGCGTCGGAATAGCGCAGGGGTAAACAGGGCAAACCTACCACATTTGACGCGTCGACTTTTGCAGTTATCGCACGCTCTGGACCGCCCGCCAACTCCGACCATGTGAAAGATGCATGCTAAGATGGATGAGATGAGGAAGATACAAGACTGCGGGAGATGACGAGTCACCGTCAGCATGGCGCGTGCGCGGCGCTATATTCGGCCCTCATCTCACAAGGATGCGCCTGTGAAGACGCACATAAATTCAACGATCGATCAAGGGGTAGCTTTAAACCTTATATCCTCCATGATGTTAACTTCAGTCTTTGTTCGTACTACGTACATCGAGACGTGAGCAGATGCCACTTCCGCACATGGAAGACCTCAAGCTTTCAGATCTTCAGGTCGTGGTGAACATGATCAACCCTGAGAGCCCTAAAATATACCTTCGCGCCGCAGCAAACCTTCCCGAACTTCTTGTTTCCAATGCAACCCCTTAATTGTTTCCAAGCCTTCTACAAAGTCATATCCAATTGTCCATAAGTCGCCGTTACGCCTGTCATCAAGTTTTTGTATCCAAATCGCTTTGAGAGCCCTCTGGTCATGGATTGCGAATGCAATGTCCCAAGTACACCATTCAAGTTTTTCAGTGGTACCTCGAAAATTGAGGGTGAGGCGATCACATCGTTGAATCCAGGTGAGTTCCGCCGGGTCGTAATTGTCCTTAAAGAAAAGCTCCAGGCACATTACGCGGGTACTTTGAAGGTGGTCCAGCGGACAATCCACATGGGTAGAGAGGTTGATTGTCGACCATGGTAGGTGCAATACCGGCTGGAGAGCTGCTACGCATCGTTTCAATGAAGCCCGGTTAAGGCTACCCTGGAGCCATGATCCTGAAATCGGCATGCTAATGTTGCCTTCGCCAGCTCCTCCTGCCAAAATCGAGGCTGATGATGACTCAATCTTCAAACAACGGCCGTATGGATGCTCATCTTGCCACTTTCGAGTAGCAAGGATTAGAGGTTTAACTTTAGCTATATCGTCCTCCATTTCGTTGTACGTAGTACGGCAACTGAAGAAAAGGCCGGAGATATCTTGTGGACGTCCAGGAGTGATGCTTTCGACAATAAGGTGCCTATAGACCTCGATTCGAAGCTCTGTTGGGAGGGTGAGAATCATATTCTGTATAATGCGTGGGTTGTTTAGATACCAAGGTGAGGGGAAGTGATCGTTACAGTTAATGCTTCCTGCTCTTATATATCGGAGCATCGAATGCAAGGAATCAACTTCGCTTAAGAGCACGGATTCATCTCCTGCTGAGTCAATGACGTTGTGAGGTGATTCATTGTGTAGGAAGTGAGAACAAACGGGTTGGATGATGATTTGCGCAGATCTACATTGATGAGAATGGAACAGATTATACAAAGTTAAATGCCCGAGCTTTGCTGCCCCTACTTTGCATCAATGCGCCACCATGACTATGTAACAATCTAGCAATATACACTTCGAAAGATTGGTACGCAATCCTCATCCAAACCCATAAACTCAGTCGACACAAACCCTTCAAACAGCCCTACTCCCTATAAAACCAATTCAGATCCACAAACCGATACCCCGGCAGCTTCAATCCGCCCCTAAAATCTACTCCCCACATCCTCCTCGTCGATCCCTCGACAAGAAAGCACCACGGACCATAAAAAGTGCCAGAGTTAGGAAGATACACGCCCTCACATTGCCTCCCGTGTATGACGTTCACAATGTATCTGTCTTCCACGCTGTAATCTCTGCGGAACGTCAGCCTATCAATATATCTCTTCTGCCTTGCCTTCTCCAAAAACTCTTTTCCCCATATCTGGTAGAAGATACGGAAGAAGAGATGACTAGATGACAGAACTTGTTTGTTCGTATATCGACGTTCCACTCCGAAACCGAAAGGGCAGAGTAAGAGACGGAGGCCGAAAACCGCGAAGTCTTCCGTGCGACGCAGCATGTCGTGCTTAGCCCTTTGAACGGGATTTCTGCGTTTGCGATCGCGCGGTGCTGTGATGGCGAACTCGGTGAGGGGATTGATGTAGGTGTGTGAGGATGGGATTTGGAAGCACAGTCGTCCTCTAACTTCGCCTCTGAGCCGTCGGGAGTGGTCCCAGGCGCGCTTCAGGTCGAGGGCTACTTCGACTGTTGAGACGAGTGGCTTCATTTCCGAATAGGTTGTGCGGGAAGCGAGGTATAGAGCACCGACATCGGATGTGCGTCCATTTTCCAAGGTTTCGGTGAGAAGGTTGCTGTAGATCTGAAGTCGTAGTTCTACTGGTAGCGCGAGTAACACGGAAGGCTTGTCTTTGGCCATGGCGCTGACTGTTGGTCTGTGATGAGTTGAATGGTTGCTATCGGAGGATTTGGCGATTTGCTGAAGATGAAAGCAGAAAAGAGTTTGCGGCGTTTTGATATTCAGCGAGCAAACACCCTGTGGAGCCAGTGAAAAGCAAGCTCAGCACGCAACGGTGAAATGGTAACTTGCGGAATTGATGGAAGAGTGATAACAATGCTGCATCATCAAGCATCAGGATTGTCCTTGTCCCACTCATCTAAAGCGTGTGGGCCCAACGTCCAGCGTCGCCCAAGTGCATTCACTGGTGGCTTCAACCCTTGTTTGAGATCCAAGCAAAGCGTCCACCTAAGATTTGGAGCAGTTCCACCAATGCCAAGCCACCATATCACCTTTCTAGAGAAGCAATAGCAAAGCTTGAAAATCTGATACATGTCACCTTTTCCGAAATCGCCTATCGAAAGGGGAGGAGCTCCAAGGGTGCCCAATTCTATCATCAGACGATCGATACCTCTGAGGTAGGAGTGTTCTGTTTCAAGAATTATGGGTATCCGATATAACAGGTGGCTGGCTATAATGATACTGGCGTGCCATGGTACATCTCGATGTGGACCTGGTTGGTAGAAACTGAGAGTAAAAGTCGACAACTGGAGGCGTGATACGTAGGAAAGTATACTTGCCAGATCACCGAGATCTATTGGATGTTTCCCAGAGTTGATTTCCATGCTTACCGGTATCAGTAGCGTAAGGTCTTTTACCGGCCCGGTAGATTCGTAGGTAGAGGGAAGATACACGTGTAACGGACGGACCGATGGAGAGTTTCGTAGCCAGTGATTTTGCAATTTGATGATCGGCAAAACCTTTTCGACACACTCGTCCATCTCATCATGGATCTTGATGCAAGAGCTGTACAGGCCTCTGGCGCAGCATGGGTAGCCTTCGGCAATGCTTGAAGCCAAGAGGCGCCCGTATACTTCCAGGCGCAGTTCAGCTGGAAGAGCGAAGAAGCCTTGGTGCTGGGTGGTTGTCATCTCGTAATTATCGAAGTAAGAAGGTGATGACCGGCCGTAAACCGTATATCAAGGATCGTGTATGGAGTTTCGTTTGTAGAGCGCCGGGTATGAATTGTCTGTTATCAAGCGTCGTGCGTAGAGCCTTGTTTTGGCGATGGAAGGTGATGCGGCGGTAGGT